CACTGATAGCACATGATTGATTATACCAATCTTTTTTTTGTTGCCAACTCACTTCAGGTATTAAAAAGTTGCAGCGAAGCTCAACGCAAGCGGAATCAGGATGAGGAAATAAAAGGGTTCAAGAAAAGTACAAAGAGTCGTGATAACTGGGTTAGTCATATAGTAAGATCGAATAATTATAATAAAAATTAATAAAGTTGCAATTGGTACACAAAAATAATGATACGAAAAATATGGGAGAGTAATCGAGATTAAATTTCGGGGATATAAGAGATAGCTACAAAGCAATAAGCGTAAAGAAAAAGTAATATAGATAATGAAATAATAGTAATGAATCAGTAAATAATTACTAAATCGTCTGTATCTTTGTTAGAGAGATGACCCTAGGCGTCCCGGTTCCGATTTATTCTGGGTTGCTCATCGCACTAAAGTTATCACATTATTAGTTTCACGGAAGCGACACCTTAGCGTTACTCGCGTACCGCGGTTCCAATAAATTGTGGTGTTTATCTGTGTAAGTTATTTTGTGTGTGTAGTGGGCTAACACTAAGAGTGTTGAGAGGGATATGCCATGTCACCAACGAAGAATGCAGTAATAGGACTGAATTTAGTTCTGTTACATGACAAATATATTATATTACTATTACATGACTCCCGCGGGCCTTGAAAATTTTAAAAAGTGGTAACGAAAATAAAACAAATGTCGATATTTTAATTTTTGTTTAACCAGCACTTAATATTGTTTTGCAAAGAAAGTATATATGCATGAAAATTCCAGCTATCTAAGCTACTTAACAATACAGTGGTATATTAAAGTAAGAAATATATTCTAGCATTAACCTAAATTTCCTACCAATACTAAAATTTTTCAAAGACAGCGGGAACACTGCATTATCAATATATTATAGTAGACAGAACTATTTTCTTTTATCAAAATGAATTATAAAAACGAAAAATTTTTTCTATCACATTTTTTATTTATTTTTTCTAAACACGTATTTTCTCTTAGATATTTTCAACGAATATTCTGATTGTAGGCAACTTTTTTCAAAAAAGAAATTACAGCTGCTACATCTCAACAGTGCTCGACTTCGCGCGCAGGTCGTCGGGCTACAGAAGCGGGGGTGCTATCCCCTCCGCAGAGGATCAAAATTGTGATGGCATGTCTTCGGATCATCCTCCGGGATGTTTCCCAGACCGTCGCCGATGGCCCATTGTGCAGCTCTAGTGTGACGTAAATTAACAACAACATCTCAACACTTTTTTTTAAAAAAAAAAAGGTAGGAGATCGGAAACGAGGTTGTTTTCTTACCACTTTTTAAACCTTAGTTGGGATAGTAAAAATATCAAAAACATATTTGTAAGTGACCCGCTCGTAAGATATAAATAGGTTGAAAAAAAAAAAAAAAAAAATGAAAGACATCAATGTAATTTCATATGTAACCATCTCATAACTGTTTAATAATATTTCAAATATGTAATCAATATTTTAAAATAAAAAAGAAACTCTGAAAATATGTTAAAGCATTAGTTTATTTTTCTTAAATTTTGTTAGAAAAAGTGTAAGCTACTAAGAATACAGTAAACAAAAAATTAAGCAATTAAATATTTTACAAAATTTATCTAATTTAGTTAATAAATGCTCTAATAAATGGGGTGTTAGTAATGAACACTTATTTTTATTACAGATATTTTTACCAGGGTTTTATCTTTGAAATCTACTAGTGGTAATTAATAGTATGATACAAACCCTCAGCATTTAATACATTTGTGATAGCCATTTACTCTTGCAATGTACTATATACTATAGTTATGTACTATTTTCGAACGAAAATAGGGAGAGTTCGCAAATTTACGTTAGCTTACGAATGCTCCCGTACGTAAGATTTCAAGTTATTGAGCATGCTCCCTTGCTCCGGACAGCAAATATATATTTTAAAGTGGTAGTTTATCAATTGTAATTCTTGGCTTAATAAATTCAATTTGGTAGATTTTTATTCACCACTATTTCTAAATAATTCGTAGGCTTATATAAATCACCACGTTTTAGTACTAATGTCATGCTGTGCCTTTTAAAAAACTAGCATACATAGTCAATACAATGCAATCACATAAATTATTTCAGATTTTTTTGCAAGATCTAACAATATGAAAAAAAAATTTTTTTTTTAATAAATCACATTTTTGGATACACATTAAATATGAAAAAATTCCATCAGTTTGGGAAAATGCGTATTATATTTCGACTCTCATATAAATGAAATTTATTACTGTTTACTAGTTTTAATATTTGAAAATTTTTTGAAAAAAAAAAATTTAAAAATTTGATGTTAAATTTTTTTTTTTTTAAAAAATGCCAATTTTTTTTAATTTTTTTTTCTGAAAAACTACAGATATATAAAATTTTCGAAATCAATTTTGACAATAAATATGTATTATATTGTACGTGAAAGTAGCACAAAATTAATTGGAGTATGAGATAATTACAATAACTAATAGTCTGCATTGAAGTAATGAAATACCGATTTTTCTGCATACTTAATTATTTTTTATCTCTCATAGGACCCTCTATGGGCCGAAACGAATGTTGCCCCCTAAAATTATTCTTCATAAGGCATACATCCTACTAGTTTAGTTCAAAATTGACGAGTCACACTTCCCTAGTTTCCCTTGTGAGTCAGACGTTTACAATAGATGTTAGACTATTTTAAAGTTGTGGCTTACGATTCAAAATGCTTTGGTTTACGTAAAACTGCGGAGAAACTAAGTAGATTATATATTTTGTTGAATTCAGCGATAAAGGATACAGCTTATTATTTATATTTTAAAAGAAAATTATTATTTCTATTGATTATTTAATTTCTTTTTAACTAAGTTGAATAGTTGAAATATAAGTATAATTTATAATTTTAGAATAGCAAAAATTTATCTAGTTTTTAAAGGACAATTAGACAACCTTATTATTAAACAAAAATACCAATGAATTTATTTATTTACTGAATGAAATAGTGGTTGTGAGATCATGCGATTCATTTCGAAATGTCGCCAATTTTGTTCTTATTCGCATTCTTCTTCAAATTTTTTCCATGTCCATGTTTTTAGTTCGAAGGTATAGGCTTAAACAGAAAACAACATTTAACAGCTATAAACAGCGTGCTTGTAGCTTTGTTTTTGTAGCGTTAATCACACTAACATAACGTAAAGATGCGTAGCATCTAAAATAAACGTGATGTAGCTGTAGAAAGTAATTAATAAACGTGGATTTTTTTTCAAAAAAATAATACAAATAATGTTAATTAAAATTCTACCTTTTGAATGAAAAAGCGTGAATTAAAATCTACATCATATTTTATTGGTGGAAAATTTGTATTTTTGAAACTTGAGGTTATATTAAAAAGAAATTCCCCTAATATGCCAAAAATAGAAAAAGAAAAGGCTGATTAATTCAGATGTTTTTTTCTTAATATAGTGTCGTTCTTCCCTTTCAAACTCTATCAAAGTCTATTTGAAGCAGTAGGGTTATTAACTGGTATTTTTTCTCATAATATGTTTACAGTATCTTTGATGTTATCTGATTTTCTATAAAGAAATTTTGCGGAAAAAAATTCCAATGAGTACATAGGTTTTCTAATTTTTTTTTTAGCTTAACTTATCTATTTTGATATAGAATTAAAAATGAATATTTTAATATAAAAATACATAGATTAAATATTTATTTATTTTTTCATGAATGACTACATTTATAAACACAGTCTGCTACATTTATTTTGTCATTTTAAAAATCAAGAGAAAAAAAAAATCACAATTATAAATTAAAGTTTTGGTTTGCTAACTGGAACTTAGTTCTAGTAGTTGAAGTACAGTGGTCTGTCCAAGCCAAATTTACTTCCTTTTAACGATGCCTTTACAAATTCATCTTTAGGAAAAACGATAGAATAATTGCACAAAATACTTTTTCTTAAAATTTTATTTTTGTGTCTCATAAGAAACGATAAATCCATATTTTTACTATATTTGTGCTGATTTTTTAATATAATTTTTAGTTTTCACAAAATAGGTACCTCTCAGAAAAACCCAGACAGACCCCTGAAGTATTCTTTAAATTCTCTATTTCATCTAGTCTTTAAATTTTAATCATGCATTTGTTTCAAAATGGTTGCTATGCATTCAAAGCCAGATGTATTATGATGAAAAAATTATTTTAGTTAGAGCTTCTAAAATATTGTTACAATATATTTTTAATATTAAGTTAATTTTGATTAAACATTTATGGTTTTTTTTTATCATAAATTAAAATTCTTACAGTGTATTTGAATAAAAATCAAAAAAATCTGATTTAAATAAAAAAAATCCGATTTAAATCAAACAAATCTGATTCTTTTGATTTTTTTAAAAAAACCCATACATCATGCAAATAGTATACAGTGTATGAAAACATTTTGTATTATGCATCATTATGGTGGCAAAGTATCACAAATGTATTTGTACGGAATCAGAAATGATGGGAAAATAAAATAAAAAGTGGTAGCTTAAGTCTGATTTGTATGCCTAATTTGACAGACTTATTTTTGCTTTTACTTTAAATCTAACACATCTAATTCATGTTTGTCATTATTCTAGTGGTAGCCATGTTTAGGCTTTAATGAATTATTTTTTATTCATTTAAACTTATTTTCGTCACCACTACACATAAATGATTTAAAAACTCATATCCAACGTCACTTTTGTTCTAGCTATTGCATGGTGAAGCTCTTAAAATGTTGGCAAAATTACCAATCATCCTGATATAGCTTTGGTTTTTAAAAGGTTGCAACTCTATAAAGTATTTTGTCAATAGCATAGAGTTGTTAAAAGTGTTACTATATAATTTTTAATTTGAACAAATGTGTGGTCAATTAAATAAAGCTAATTATTATGACCCAACCCACAAATTGCTTTAAAAATAGTTTTGCTACCAGTTTTATCTTATCTACCCTGATTGTCGTCGACCTGAGAATGCATAGATGACTCTCTCGTATTGAAAAGGTTAAGGAGAAATTTAAAACATTATGTTACATTAAAAAAAAAGTGTTATATTTTTTCCACATTCTACTGTACACAACTTTTCCGAAATAAAGGAAAACTGAAATTAAAAGAAGTGTTATTTTTTCGTTCCGTCCCACACTGATTGCTTTCAATCTTATTGAAGAACAAAATAAGTTATACAACCTCTAACTTGCATTGCGTTTATAGAAGATCGCCCCCTCCTCAACCTCAGGAAAACCTGTTTCAGGTGAGAAGGGCCAACGACTGTATTCCTTGAGGCGGCCCACAACACAAGTGTCAGCTCACCTGGCTGCTCCCTTCAAGGTTTCAAAGTGCGATTCAAATCAAAGGATTACTCTCTGTGTGTGTTTAGATTTTGGATTATTAGGATTATTTCTTAATTCATCTAAAAGGTAGGATACTTTTAATTATCTTTTTAACGAGAAAAGTACAATTGTAAACTTGAAAATCAATGAACGCGAGTGATGTAACGCCGGCGTTACGATTTATTATGATGGGTTATTTCTCTTCTTTTACTTTTAAACCCCCCTTCTCGTCTTCGTGATAACGGCTTTGATTTCCAGTGTTGTAGTGGTAAATCTTTTAGTTGGATAATGTTAAAAATTGATTTGATGTATTTATTTTTTTGTTGTTCCAGATTAACGTATAGAAGTGTTTAAAAAACTTTAGTTTCTAACTGCATAAGGTTAAAAGTTCTTTAAATTATAATTAAATTTTAAGTAAGTTTTCCCATTCAGTTTAAATTCATGATGTAATTTAATGCTAAAATAAATAACCATCATTACAAAATACAAACACTAAATAAATGTGTCAGTTTCTTACTCCATCTTAGTTTCAACGAAATAACAAAAAATAACGAATAAAGAAAGTTTAAAATATATAAATTAAAAAAAATCTAATAAAAATTTGCAAAATTGACGGAAAAGTCGAATAATTTTTTGTTTTTCTAGAAAAACCAGAGTGATGGTTTCTCACCACTTTCCTTCATCAATTTCGATAGGCATTCAAATTTTATTTCAATTTCCAAACCTACAAATTTTTTTACTTTTAGTCATTTAAAAAAAGTACTTTTTTACTTTCGCCTCTTTATAACTAAAATCATTTGAAAAATTTATTTCCTAATTTCATCTTGTGCAACTAAGGTCATTTGAAAAAGTTGCTTTCTAATTTCATCTCTGTATAACTATAGTTATTTGAAAAAGTTATTTTATAACTTAATCTCTATATAACTATTGACATTTGAGAAGAATTTTTTTTTCGAATTTCATCTCTGTATAATGAAGAGTCCTTTGAAAAATTTATTTTCTATTTTCATCTTTGTATAACGATAGTCATTTTAAAATGTTATTTTTTAATTTCATCTCTGTATAATTATAGTCATTTGAAAACTAATTTCATCTTTATATAACTATAGTCATTTGAAAAATTTATTTTGTAATTTCATCTCTTTATAACTATGGTCATTTGAAAAAATTATTTTCGTATTTCATCTCTGTATAATTAGTCATTTAAAATTTATTTTGTAATTTCATCTCTTTATAACTACAGTCATTTAAAAAATTTATTTTCTAATTCAACACTCCCAATCAAGAACCCACTCCAATCCTGCGAATTCAATTTTATGACGAAAGATATAATTTTTGAACTTTTAATAATGAAACGATGAAAATTCTCTTTTTTCGAATGAAATGTTTTCAAAATGATTAGTAGTGAATTCAAAATGTTTAGTTGTCTATTTGGTCAAAGTGTTGCAATCGCTAGTGAACTTTATTTAGGAATTAGGGGTTCCATTAAAAGGAGGGTGATTGCTTAGGCTTACTGAAACAAAAAAATGTGGGAACCAGCGGTCGTAGACAAGTGGTCAACTTTTAACGTTTCACTGTAATAAAAAAAAATGTGTAAATATGTAATTAGTTACCTTTTTGGCATGCTCAAAGCTGCCAAGTTTCTACGCTTTTTGTAAATATTTATTTTCGTGTTTATGTTTAAATGTATTACTTTTTAGTAATTTATACTTATTTTCCACACCACTACATTGATTTAAAAGTTCACAGCTCCAGCTCTTTCGTGGTCAGTTTTTCAAAAGGTCGGCGAAATTACCAAAAATTATGAAAGCTTTGGTTTTTAAATGTCTACCATCCTATAAAATATTTTTTGCAAAAAGCTTAGCAGCTGGCAGCATATAAACAGCCTCGCCACCAAAGAAGTGGACAGAAGTGACGTTGCATATGAACTTTTAATTCATTTATAAGGAGTGGCGTGAAAAATAAGTTTGAATGAATAAAAAATATACATTAAAACATTAACTCGGCTACCACTAGAATAAATTTTTACGAAAATCGTATAAAGTTGACAAAATTACCAGAAATTCTGATGGCTTTGGTTTTTAAATGTCCACTACTCAATATAATATTTAGCAAAAAGCGTAGTAATTGGCAGGGCAGCATGATCTTCTAAAAAATTGCTCAACTGTTGAGAATTAAAATTGAGAAAAAAAAAAAGATTATACACTAAACTTCTTACATAAATACAAACAGATGGACTGCTATTTTCACTAGTGGGTTAGTGTTATTTGAGGCTAAATATCAATTAGAATGCATCGACTTTGAGGGAAATTACGAAGCAAATTGCTAAGTCAAATATACACTTTGCCTCCCATTAGCCGGGATTAGCACATTTCTGAAAATAATCCTTTTTTTTTTCTTGTGGAATATTTTTCCTCCTTCGTCTGATAACAATTGAGGCGTGTAAAATAGAGGCGACCGAAAGAGCTCATTCACAGCTTTCTACTATTGTATTAGTTGCTATTGGGTTGGCAACTTCTTATAATTTCTTGTTTTTTATTTTATTTTTACCCGCAATTAAATTTTTTTGGCATAATATTTTAAATCATTCGAAAAGAGAGCATTCTATCACTGGAGAAGAATTTTGACCAATTTTCGGTCAACTAAAGGTGAACGAAGGTTAATTCCAGATATCATACACAATTTAGTTTCGATGGTTATTTACTAAACTGTAGATAATTAATAAACTAAATTTTTTTTCTTCATACGTTTATAAAAGTGGTACAATTACTTTCAAAAGTATTTTTAATTTTTCTTCCATGAGATTTATATAATCTCTACCTATCAATTAAAATTATGTAAATTGGTCAAACTACTTCGTTTTATAAAATAGAAGGCAATTTATACTTAATACTCAGAATTTTTTAAACTTAATATTAAAATTATTTTTTAAAGCAGTAGTTCATCTTTGAAACAGACTTTTTACATTTTTACAATGCAGCTCAGTTCTTAACTATACATTTATAATTTCAGGGAGACCAACTGCTTCGCTTACTACAAAAGATTTAATAAAGTTGTAAAGAATTAAGAACAAAGGGTTGAAGGGTTTTAAAGAATTATGCTAATATTTTACACAATTCTTCCCGAAACAATTCTACTGAACAAGTGTTTTACACAAGCTTTTAATTTATTTATATATAGTGTTGGGAAAAAATATTTTTAGTCACATTTACTCAAACCTGACAACTACTAAGATTTTTGTAAAATATTTTATAAAGTGGTATACATTTTATTACCAATGCTTTCAGAATTTTTGGTAATTCTGACAGCATTTAAAGCAGGGGTGAAAGCGAGACGGAAAAGAGGAAAGGCTGGTAGTTAAACCATTTCAGTTATAACTAGTTTTCGGGAGGAGTTAACTTATTCTTTTTAAAACTATTCAACAATATCTACGTTATCCTTGGAAAATAAGCAGTTTTATATATAGACTGAAATTATGAAAAAGAAATCTTGATAGTTACAGATATATTATTTTTTTAAAAAAAAAAATGCTAAAGTGAAATGTCTTGCTATATAAGGGTTTTCAGCCCTGATTTAAAGAGCCTCACCACGATAGAGGTATATCAAAGTGGCTTTGCATATGAGTTTTTAAATAATTTATGTGTAGTGGTGTGGAAAACAAGTATAAATGCATAAAAAATAATACATTAATACATAAACTTAGCTACCATGAGGACAAAGTTCCACAAAATGCGTAGAAAGTTGGCAGCCCTGCATTTACTGCTCCCAGAATCATAAGTATAAGTTTTACAGCCAATGGAAAAAATATTACCATAAAATGGAGCAAAATTTTGACCTTTCTGATATTGATAAGTCCAAGCATTAATTAAAATAAACGAGAGAGCTTTTAATTTAGTGGTATGCAGCTTATAACGAGCTTTTAATTTGTTTATATGTAGTGTTAGGAAAAAAATATCTTAAATCAGATTTACTATGCCAAGAATCATATGGTAAAGTATAAATTTTGCAGCCACTAGAAAAAATATTACCATAAAATGGAGCAAGATGACATTTCTGACATTCATAAGACCAAGCATTAATTAAAATAAACGAGAGAGCTTTTAATTTATTTATATGCAGTGTTAGGAAAAAATATTTTAAATCACATCTACTATACCAAGAATCATATAGTAAAGTACAAGTTTTGCAGCCACTAGAAAAAATATTACTAATGTGACATTTCCACAGAATTATAGGGTTTCGTAATTTATTTTTGGGAACAGCTGTTGTAAGTTGACATTTACTATTAAGAACCAAATGTGTTACATATTATAAAATGGAGCAAAATCTTTTTAACCACCAGCCTATCTTTTATGTTGACCGGTGAACTATAAATCAAACTTATCTAATAATACTGCTTTCAATTTTTACCACTCTTAAGATGACCGGAAATAAAAACTTTTTTTCGGATTTATTTTTATGGAAGTAAGTTATGTAATAGAATTTTTCTAAACTGGCGACATTTTTTTAAAAAACTGAACCCCTCTGTGAGTTAAATATCGAGAAATATTAAATGCTTTTGTTTGTTTTGTAAAGAGTAGAAAATTGACTTTGATAGTAGAACAAAATAAAAAGTTGAAATGGTTATTAAGTTTTCTAATTCAATAGTTTTTTTTTTTGTGCACTGTGATATTTTAAGAAATTCTTTATAATAAACGCTAAAATACGCCGTCGAGCGTGCATATTTTTTTATTCTACAAATCAATTTACACTTTGAGTAATGTAAAATGCTATTTAAACTAATTTAAGAACAACGAGATGCCAACTCGCAACGGACAGCGGATAAATATTTTCAAGTGGTAGCCTTTTAATTTATGAATTTTGGTTTAGTGAATTCGATTTATAGAGGTTTTCACCACTGCTTTTAAATAATTCTAAAGCTTATGCAATACGTCACTTTATTGTGACACAGCCGCAATGAATCATCTTAAGAATGTACAAAATTAACCAATTGTGTAGTTCTCTACAGTTTTTAAAAATATTTTGTTGAGTCCAGAGCAGTTTCGATCTCTGCTGAAGTATAAAATGTTGCAATATTGTTATAGAAA